AAACAGGAGAGAAGAAAGGAAAGCAAAGACAGGGGAAGAGAAAGAAATAGAAGAGAGTAGGTGAGGCGAGGGATAAAAACCCTAGAAAACCAGAAGAAAACTAGGCAGAGACTCCCATTCTAGAGAAAGAAGCTCCCATTCAAGAGAGAGAAAACTAAAAGTGTTTGAGTTTGGTAGGCTAATTTTGGGACCGACCTAAGTAATTTGACTTTTTGTACTTGTTGAGTAGAATATTTATGTAAAAAAAAATTAAAATTATTAGATATTGATAACTATATGTTTAAATTACATTTGTACTATAAAAAATGGATAAGTACTCTTGAAATTATAAATGTTGTCTATTTTTTTTTTTTATGATAAATAAATGTGATTCAAACATATAATTATCGATATCCGATTATCTTAATTTTTAACGAGTTCTGAAAAAAAAATGATTTGAATCACTGAGATTGGCCGCAAAATAAATCCACCAAGTACAAAAAGAAAATCCAATCCCATTTTGTTGAGAAATTAATCAATGCTTCTGGATTAGTAGTTATTGACTTAAATCATGGGATCCACCACTTTTGTATTAGAATTTCAAGAGATGAATTATCAAGTGTCAATTTATAAATGGGATAGAGCAATACTCTTGGAGCATTGTTGTGTCTATTAAACAGTGTTATTAATTTGAGAAATTCTATTAAAATTATGACTAATTTTTTTTTAGGCAAACTATCAATAAGTCCTAAAAGTTGGATTTAATTCCCATCAAGTTTTATTGAAAATAAATCTTAGTAAAGTCGTCGTTAAAAATTATTTTTTGTAACGATTTTTTGTATGTCGTTAAAAATCGACAATTAGTGACTTTTTTGTCACGATTTTTATAAATTGTCACTAAAATTTACAATTAGTGACGTTTTTATGTGACGAATTTTTTAAACTATTATTGAAAGTTAAAAATTAATAACGTTTTTTTTTTTTGTGATGAGTTTTTTAAACCATCACTAAAATTTATAATTAGTGACATCTTTGTGACAATTTTCAAACTACCACTGAAAATTAATAATTAATGACGTTTTTTTAATAGTGTTTAATGAAAAATGCTATTAATTCTCACATGACCTATCAGATTATAAGTTTACTTATTAGGACCTACGCGTAGGTCACATCTTTTTTTAATTATGACATTATTTTAATTATATATGATATTATGTTTAGTTATGACATTTTTTTTAGTTATGATTTAAAAAATTAAAATTACAATTATATTAAGAGGTTGTTTGGGGTGTCCTAAATAAGTGCACTTTTTGTCTTTTTGGACTAAAAATTTGAGAGAAAAATATGGATGTTTGGGTTAATTTTTTGACTTTTTATGAAAAAATGTGTATTAAAAAATTGTATAAATTAGTGTATAGGGAAAAATTAAGATTGGGAATTGTGCCGTCGTACTTTTTGACTTTTGGTGAATAGTGATAATTTTTTAACATTTTGAGTAACTTTTTAACTTTTTAATTTTTTTTTTTAACTTGCCAAACTTGATCTAATTGTCTTTTAATTATAAGATACATGTGGTGTACACCTCTTTGAACACCATAATGAGAGTGTTTGGTAGAGCTTTTTTAAGCCAACTTATGGTTTCTGGCTTGTAAAAAGTTATTTTAGACTGTTTGGTTAAACTTATTTCAAACAGTTTCTGATTCTAACAACTTATTTTAAGTCAAAAAAGTTGATTCTGAGAAGCTGATCATCCATTGCTTCTGATTATCAGTTTCTGCTGTGGACATATTAATTCACGGTTATACTCTTAGATTTTTTTATTTTTTATATTTTTAAAAATAGAAAAAGACCCAAATAGACTATAAAATATTATTATTATTTTTTATGAAAAATGTAGACAAATAGTGAATAATAAAAAATAAAAATTAATTGAAAAAGCTACTTCACAACTTATTTAACAAATATTACTCACCAACTTAAATTTATAATCTAACAAGTATATCAAACAAATTAACAATTTCTAATTAAAGTCATAATCTATAATCTATTAATTTATAATTTATAATCTGTTTTAACAAGTACGTCAAATAGCGCCAATATTTCCTATTAATTCATTCATTCAAAACAAATAAATAAAACAAAACCATTCAAAACTCAATAAAGGTGGAATAGTCAAAAGTCTTTCATCTGTGGGGCCAGCATTTCTCTTATTTCTAGAGTCGTTGGTCGTTGATCAACTCAAACCTCAACACCACCCAATATTGACCATTGACACCTTCGATACGTTCAACTCACTAAAACAAAAGTCATCATTATTCTTCTCTTAACCTAATATTTATTCACTTTCAATCTTAAAAAAAAGGAGGTGTTTGGTAAGAAAAAAAATAGTTTAATTTAGGTTAAAATTTAAAAAAAAATAAAATAAGTTAAAATAGTTAATAAGATAAAATATCACATTAAATTCATAATTATTTCACTTTTTTTCTCACAAACATCACATCTAACTACAAAAAAATCTAATTATCTTTCCAAATATAAAAATTTTAGCTTACTAAAATAGTCAAAAACTAAAATAACCTACTAAAATAGCAACTTTCCAAACGAAGCCAAAATCTCATTCTTCTCTACTGAGAAAGAAAGAAAACAGAATTTTTTTAGAAGTGATCAAAATGTTTTCATTCTTTAAAAATTGAAAAAACAAAAAAAATGTTTGTAAAGTTGTTTCTAAGGTCCAGTTTGACAATGTTTACAATTTACTATTTTTGATTTATAAAAAATAATAAATATATTTATGAGTATTTTGGATAAAAACAAAAATAAAAAACATGTTTAACACACAATTATTGCAAAATTTTGTTTTGAAAATAATTAAAAAGAGTGGTTGTGAACGATTGAAAATAATGACAGAAAATAGTAGTGGCAGAGGTGAATGTGGTTATCGATAGTGATCAGTTAGACACCTAAGGTGGTTTTCAACAAGAGGTGTTGATTAGTGGGTGGTAGTAGTGGTTGGCAAAGGAGGTTATCGGAAATGACAGGCGGTAGTCATTGGTGGTTGGAACTGGTGAGAGAAAGAGGCAGAAATGAAAAAAATAAATTAATTAAAATAAGTGGAATCAACTTTTTTGTGTTTGTATGTCTATTTATATAAAAAAAAAACTAAACGAGTTTTGGTTTACAATTTCTAATTTTTTTTTTTTAAAGTAGAAATACAAACATTATCAAATAGGGTCTAAAAATTGTCATTTATTTCCATGTCTTTTTTAATAAAGAAAACTTACTTTCCACAAAAATAAATAAATAAATAAATAAGAAGTTAATTTTAAATTTTTAAAAATTAATTTCACACAAAAATAAAAATCAATCAGTGTGTTTGGTTTTAATTTTTTGAATTTAATTTTTTTGTAATTGAATTTTTTATTTTTTGTATTTTTTTTTGTTTTTAGTAATATTTTAAAAAATTTTAATCAATTTTCTTACGTTTTTTAGATGCATCTTATTTAAATGTATTTAAAAAGTAAAATATTTATAAAAAAAATATTTTAAAAAATTAATAAATATAAGAAAAATGTACTGAATTCTTATTTTTTTATTTATATTTTTAGTATTTAGTGAATTTTGTAAAAAAAATTTCACAAATATTATACATTTTTAGTGTATTTATGTTACGTGTATCTAAAAATTAAAAAAATTCAGTAAAAATAAAAAAACACAAAAAATAATTTTTTAAAAAGTGAATCTTGAAAATCTAAACTAAACAAGCCAGTCATTTTACTTATTTTATTTTAATTTTAACAACATAAAAAAAAAATGAGGAATGACAAAAGTAACAATAATAAACTCTAACAAGCCCAAAACACAACCCTAATCACCTACGGATATGGTTGCAAGAAAAGTAACAATAATAAACTCTAACAAGCCCAAAACACAACCCTAATCACCTACGGATATGGTTGCAAGACATAATTGACAAATCACAAAAATATAAGAAATTTTTTTCTTGAAAAAATTGCCTCATTAGAAGTAATTTTTTTTGGTGATGAAATGATTGATGGAAATCCATTAAGGATGTATTTTGATCATGGATGTATGTATAAATTTAGATAAGAAATGAAAAACGTGAGGAAAATAAAAATGAAATATAAGTTAATTTTTATCTATTTATTTTTATTTAAATCCATGATTATAACAAAATGCAAGTGATGGAAAGGCCGGTGAGAAAGGGATTGGGACAATAGGGAGTGTGATAGGCATAGTTGGGGAAGTTGATTTTGGTGGGTTAGGAAGGAATGTGGTTAAAAGTCACTTCCCAACTTAAAAATTAATAAAATCAAAAAAAAAAATCAAAAAACAGTTTTTAATTATTTTTCCCAAACACCCGTAGTAAAGGAGGGCATGGTGGTGGTGGTTAGGGGCGGGTGACCGACCACTGGAGTTGCAGAGTAAGGAAAGAAAGAGAGGTAGAATGGTTAATTTTCTTTAAATTTATTCTCCAACCAATACAATTCCCTTCATTACCAAGACGGATCCATAATTATATCTTTGGGGGATTACTCTATAATTTAAAAAATTGAATGACTACTCTATATAATTTTAAAATTATCTTAAAAAAAAATTGAGAATGCAAACTTCTATAATTTTAAATTATTTTAAAATTTTTAATATAATATATGACATTTTTTAAATTATTGGAGGTCCCCCATCATGGCTCATTACAATTATTTTTGCAATTCTTGGAAGCATCCCACTAGTTTGCAAATAATTGGTGCCTCATTTTATTGCAATTTCTCCTCTTACTTATCTCATTTCACAGAAAGTTAAGAGAGGGATAAATAAAATGCTATAAAAGAAAAAAAGATTTATATATATATATATATATATAAAACATTATAGAATGACATTTTATCCAAAAAGAAAAACAGATAGAAAGATTGATCATATTCTATCAAGTTTAATTTATGATGATGATCGTTTATCAAAGAATTACTCTAGTTTCAAAATGATTGAACAACCATAAACAATTTACTTGCAAAATATTTAAGGAATTATGAGTTCAATACATTCTAGGTTGGAGTGAAAAAAGAAAACATAATACCTAATTTTTCTGGTAATTAATCAGAATTGGATAATATATACAACTCTCATACCATGATCAAGACAGATTTTTTATACGAAATCTGAAAAAAAAAGAAAAAAAAGAAAAAAAAAAAGAGTGGCCATGATAGCTGAAAATACCCACCTTATACTTACATTAAGGGGATGGATATACATAATCTTCGTACAAGAGGGAATCAAACATGACTGAGAAAACGCAGGAAAAATTTCCTTCCTTGCCGAGAAACCATTTTCATATCCCCCAAACACCCCAAATCCTTTCTCCAATGAAGCTCACAAGCTTCCTCACCGATCCTTTCTCCGAACCCACCTCCCCACCCCCATCCTCCTCCACATCACCACCACCGTGACTCGGGCGACTCTGACTCACTTCCACCGATCCCAACTCGCCCGAGTCACGATTCTCATCCTCACAGACTCTCTTTCTTCTCTCCTTCTTCAAACTCTTCTTCTTCTTCTGAAACAATCCGTCTTCATAAGCATCTAAAACCTCATGAATGAGTTGACGATTCGGCGAAGCGTCCCAACGAACCCAGTAACTCATATAACATCTGAAACAGTTGCAGTTGAACTGAGTTGGGTGGTCGCCGCCGCTACCTCCGCCGTCAAGTCGGGTTTTGGGGTTGCCGGAAAAGTTGGTGGTGGTTCCGGAGCAAGAGATGAGGTAGGCCAAGACTTCTTTGTCTTGGGGAGAGAGAGCCACCGTGAGAGTGAGAATTGTGGCCGGAAGGAGAGAGAGGTGGTCGGCGATGGGCGGCGGAGATGGGTGGACTTTGCCTTTTTTGTTGGTGTAGAGTTTCTTCATGGTTGAGAGTAGAGCTAGATTGGGTTTTGGGTCTTTCAAGTTTTTTTTCCCCTAAGGTTTGGTTGTGGTTTTAAATTAGTAGAGAGAGTGTTGAGACTTAGGAGAAAGAGCTTTGGACTGCGAAAAGTATTAATATTCTATTTTGATTTTCTCTAGCTTGATTAATTTACAGGAAAGAGAGAAATAATTTTCTTAATTTACGCGCTCTTATAATCTTGTACTTGTAGTCACAATTTATATTTAAAAAATAAAAAAAAAAAATCGTTTTTAAGATTGTTAGGCATAGTTGGGGAAGTTGATTTTGGTGGGTTAGGAATTAAAATAGTCATAAAAATAAAATAGATTATTTTAGTCATAAAAAATAAAATATTAAATTTAATCCATAATCATTACACTCCTCTCTCATAAAAAAGTCAAAAAGTCCTTCCTAAATTAGGTTTTTTAACCCCAGACTAAAATAGTCAAAAAGTCAAAAAATTAACCCACTTCCCAAACGGAGGCTTAGTATTGTATTGAAATGTTGTATACAAATGTATTATGTGTGAAAATATTTTTGAATATACGAAAAATGTTTTGAAATTAGACATTAGTACTTTGCAAAGTGTCATTACTAAGAGATCCTTCAAAAAATTATATCAAAAGTGAGGTATATGACTACAGTTAAAATGAACATTGTTTTTTTTTTTTTTTTTAAATGTGTTTGACATTAATTTTTTTTAAGGGAATTTTTCATAAATCTCTCTTTATTTATTTATATTTTATTTAATTTAAATTATTTTTTTTAATAGTTTAATAAGTTTTATGAGTGATATAGTTGTCAAAATATTCCTAATAATAATAGGGATGAAATGCGCATTAATGTTCACATTGACAGTGTGAATGGTTCATGATGTGAACATTTATATTAACAGTGTGAATGTTCCATGATGTGAAAATTCACACTATCAAATTTATTTAATGTGAAGATTTATGTTACCAAGTTACTAAGGATTCAAAAAATATTTGTAAGAGTAAAACTATCAATAGAATACCATAAACAGAAGAATTAGAATTCGGTGAATCAAATATGTAAAATAATAGAACTTATTGATAAGAATATGTTATGAACTAATTAGAATACAAGTACTTAAAAGATCATTTTCTAATAAATTCTCATTTTTTCATTTTATTGAACTTTTATTTTATTTTATTTTATTTTTTGCTTTTAGGTTCTACTGAACAAAAGGACTAGGAAAAAAAATTAAAAAATATATAAAAAGTTCATGAAACAATAACAGAAGTTAAATTTTTAAGTTTTTAATTTTTATTTTTTATTTTAACCTTTTTAAAATCTTTAAAAATAATTTATTTTAGATCCTTCTATATTAGAAAGACTTGAAAAGTAAAAATTTGACATAAATTTTAAAAAAATTCATTAAATACAAAAAAGTTAGAAAAAAAAAAATTGACTCTATTAGCCTGATCCCAAACACACCCTAATTAATTTTGCTAAATATGTAACATTATTATTTTAGAATATTGTAATATTATAACTTTTGGCTCATCTTCGTATTTTGAATAGTTAATGTTGTACGGTTTTTGAACATATTATTTAAGCAAAATATCATATTGACTAGACAATTGTCACAATATGATGGGTAATATTTATTTTAAAAAAAAATGAAAAAGAAATATGATTTTGTTGGGTCCATTTGGATTCATCTTAATTATTCAAATTATTTATTTTTCAAGATTTTTTCCCAATTAGATAATTAACATAAAAAAAATTATATTAATCGAATAACTATAATTATATAGGATCAAATTTAAAATCTTTTTATTTGTTTATTATAGACTTTAAGAAGTTAAAGATGTGTTCAACTTTACAACAGTCACACCAACATAATAATAATAAATAAATAAATCTACTATAATATTCTAAAGCTGACTTGATCAACCTTTAGAAAGTAGTTCGAAAAAACAAAAATGTGGAAATATGAAAAGGCAATATGCTGACTTATAGACTGCAGTGAGTGGCTATAATAATGTTACTAGTTTATTTATGCTTATTTTTACAATAATTTATTCAGAAAACAACTTTAGTCTTCTAATAAGAAATTATTATGTAAGAAAGCACGCATGCATGCAACACGGCCCTAGAAATTTTCTCGGCATCCAAACAAAGCTTTAGGGGCCGAATACGAAAAAATGGGTGTCAGCCCTTAGACAAGTGAATTATGACAATCACGTGATCCGTATGAATGATTTGGTTGTCAATTGAAGTTTTCCCTGAATCCAAACAGAATGCAACAAATTTGAGTGATGGTTTACAATAATTTTGATGTTTGGATATGGTCGACAAGAACAATCAGCCATTTCAGTTTTCTGAAAATTAATTTTTTTTTTTATTTTAGGTAAATTATAAACACATCTTTTAAGATTTATTTAAATTATAAATTATCTCTTATAGTTTTAGAAATTACATTATGTCTCTTAAATTTTTTTAATTTCATAATAAATGAGACATCTTATTAATAAATCATCAAGTCAATTAATAGTTTTTAATAGTATTAAAATTTTATTTCAATTAATAATTCAGAAAATTTAATTATTATATAGATGAACACTTAGAAATTTTACTTTTTTAATTAATTCTGTTAAATAAAAAATTCTGACAGGGAGGTATTTGTAATTTTCTAAACCAAAGGGAGCAATCCGTATTTTAAGCAAACCTCAGGAGATGTATTTGTAATTTACCCTTTTATTTTTTGTTTTTTGTGAATATTTTTTAAATTTTAAGCAAAATTTTTTTTAGATGCACCTTACTCAGATGTATCTAAATAGTAAAATATTTGTGAAAAAATATTTTAAAAAATTAATAAATATACAAAAATATAAAAAATATATTGAATTTTCATATATTTTTTTTGTATTTTTGATATTTAGTGTGTTTTTTAAAGATTTTTTTTTCATAAATATTATATTTTTTAAGTGTATTTATGTTAGGTGTGTCTAAAGATTCAAAAAATTGTTTAAAATATTAAAAAAATTCAGTAAAAATACAAAAAATACAAAAAAACAAAAAAATAAAATTTTCTAAAAAATATTTTCTGAAAACTAAAACCAAGCAGAGTGAATGAGTTTTTGAGTGTCCAATTCCTAGGGCATTAATGTTTCAAAGATGCTATATAAATAATAATACAATTTTAAAAAATAAATTGAAGTAGCATGAAGTAACTAAGCATTAATATTTGAAATGGACCAACTGAATTCATGTAACATAAAATTGTAAGATAAGTTTAGGATTAATTAAATTTTTTATCTATAGGATTAAATTACATTTCTTATCTACATATTTTTATTTTAGTCTCTATTGTTTTAATTTGAACAATTTAGTTCTCATACTTTAAGTTTAATTTCAATTTAATTTTTTCTTTACGATTGAGCTATTTGTATATATTTTAAGCTGACTGGTTTAAAATCCATTTGAACTTGAGTTATTAGCTAAATGAAAAAATTTGAGTGAAAATCTTTAGGAAAAATTACTTGTTAGTGGTAATTGCAAAAAATTATTACCTATGGAAAATATTATAATTATAATTATTAATATTAATAAAATTTATCACTAATTTATAATTATTTTTTAACTTCTACACTACTTAGAAATTCTTCCAAATTTTTATATTTAGCCTCCGTTTGGGAAACGGGTTGGCTTTTTGGCTCTTTGGCTTTTTTGGCTATTTGAGCCTAGGCTCAAAAACTTGGTTTGGGAAGGGCTTTTTAACTTTTTGATTTTTTTTGTGAGAGAAGAGTGTAATGATTATGGGTTGGATGTGATGTTTTGTCTGTTGTGGCTCAAATAGCCTATTCTGTCTTTTGTGGCTCAAAGAGCCAAAAGAGTCCAAATGAGCTCTTCCTAAACGACACCTTAGTAATCGAGCCGAGTTTGAGTAGAACTAAACTTAAGTACAATATATTCCTAAACACAAATATATAAAAATTTATAGGGTAAATTACATTTACCTCCCCTGAGGTTACTGACAAATACAGGGACCTCCCTGTAGTTTGAATAATTACAATAACCTCCCCTGCTTTACCTGACAATGTCAAGATTCCCCCTTTTGTTGACTTCCGTTTATTTATTTCACCGAAAAAGCTGATGTCATCAAAGCCAAACATTAAAATGTCTATAATGCCCTCAAGTGTCCTCAACCCATCTATGTCCAGAACAGTGTATTTCTGAGAAAATGGTGGATAGTTTCCTTTGCCTTCATTTTGTGACTGCTAACTCTATTACCATCTCTCTCTCTCTCACTCTCACTCTCATAAATCTTCAAAAATGTCTCCTCAAATGTGTACCTAACTAAAGTAGTACTTTCATTGATTGAAATTAGTTTCTCTCTCATGATCAATCTTACTTCTCTCCCTAATTTTCTCGCGTTTTCGCCGTAAAATCCAAAACCCACCACATCCCAGAAACAAAACAAACCCACAACCTATCACAACTACACAAATCACAATGGTTCTAACTCTACCATTCGAATTGCTCAAATCAGAAAAATCAAAACCAAACAGACAGTTGGCAGTATCTTCATTGGTTGGGCCGAAACGATTGATAAACATCGCGGCGTAAATCGAAGGGTACGCCATGCAATCGGAGAGGTTTCCAATTGATCGGCCGTTCAAATTCGAAGGCTGGAGGCTCGAGAGACTGGTGGTGCAAGAAGCGCACGGCCAACCATTACCAAGAGATTGATTACACACCTTCACGACATCGTCTAACGCCGATTTCGAAACATTGCCTTCGAATGCATCAAGAGTAGTGATGTTCATACAACCCTCGGCGATCCAAGAGGCCTGGAAACTACAGATTTGCGAATATCATTGAAATTGGAGAAGAAATCGTTTATTAGGGTTTGGTATGAAACCCAACAAGACTCGGCGAAGTCAATTGGAGGAAGAAAATTGTTGGTGATTCGGAGATAATCGGACTGAATGAGTCGAAGACCGACCTTGATGTAGTGACAAGAGACGGAATCGGAGTCGAGTTTTGGACGATTTGAGGATTGAATGAGTCGACGAAGGACGTCGAAATCAAGAGGACATGATGAGGCCGTGGTGTGGAGGTAGCGGGCGGCAGAGGCAGTGGTGGAGAAGGAAGAGGAGATAAGAGAGAGGTAGAGTTGTAGAGAGAGAAAGATGAGGAAGATGAGGGACATCTGTGGAGTGATTTAGAGAATTCAGATTACACTGCTGTTGCAATTGGAAACCAGAGTGAAGTTGGGATTGGGGAATGAGATGAGATGAGAGAGAACAAAAAAATTAAAATTAAAATTAAAAACAAAGTTGAATACTATAATCAAAGGGTATTTTCGTCTTTTCATGCTCAAATAAAAGGGTAATATGGTCATTTTATATACAAAAGTAACGTCGTTTATGTATAATTGACGGATTGGGGGAATCTGTACAATGTCAGGTAAAGTAAGGAAAATTAGTGTAATTATTGAAACTACAAGGGAGGTCCCTGTATTTGTCAGAAACCTCAGGGGAGGTAAATGTAATTTACCCAAATTTATATACTAAATTAATGAAACATTGATGAGTAGTTTTTTTTATAATATATTTTACTCATAATCTTCTCTCTCTCTCTCTTCTTTAGCATTGTTTGGCTAGGTACTCTCCAAGTCATGTTTATGAGATACTACGGCAAACAAAAAATCACAATATAATTCATACTTTATCTTCTTACTATTTAATGAAAATTGAATTAAAATATCTTGCTCATAAAATTTTCATTACGTGATTGATCAAGAGCACAACGTAACGTCATATAATGCTCTAAGACCACTAATTAATTAGTTGGAGGAAAAAATATACCCGTTTGATTGAATATAAAATATACCCTTTTTTATATCTTATCTTTAGCTAGCCGATATTATACACCATAAGATTTTATATCCTATAATATTAAATTTAAAATTAATTTTTCTTTCCAAACGGAAGCTGAACTCATTTATATATAGTTGAGCTGACTTTAACTATGTTTAAGCTTGATTTGATCCCAAACTTGACTAAAGCTTCGGTAGTTGGTATATAGGGATGAGTAAGGAATCCGTAAAATTTGTAATTCGATCCAGTTCAGTCTAATCCGATAGGTTTGGATTGATTTTTTGAATCCGTAGTTCGTTTTGGATTGAAGAATTAAAAATCCGTAATCTACGGATTGGTTTCGGATTGAACCCCACGATTCTGAATTAAAACCGATCCGGACCGTATATAAATAGTCTATAATTTTATTATACATCCTGTTCCATATTATCTTCTTTTATTCTATATAAAACCTAAACTCAAACATAAACCCGTATAATATCTTCTTTTATTACTGTTGTTTGTTAAATTTAAGTTTTAATTTATAATGGTGTAAATACTTATGGTAAAACCAGTTTTCTTATGATTGTTTAAATTTCAGAACAGTATGTCGCCATTATAGAAAAATATGTTGCTATTGTGGAACTAATATAGTGCTATGTTTATATTTTTATGAAATTAAAGTGTTATATATATTTTTTTGTTATTTAATTATATGAATCCGAGGTCCTAAACTGATTCAATCCGTATTTAAATGGATTGGTTCGGATTGATTCTATGATTTAAACGGATTGAATTGATTCCAATTTTTCAAGAACTATAAATAACGAATTGATCATAATTTTATCTAAATCCAATCTAATCCGGAACATGCTCATCCCTATTGGTATCCATATTTCCATTGCCAAGTTTAAACCGAATAATCAATGTTCTTTTAACTTCACAACCAAACCCAACATTTCCCATTAAAGCTTGTGCAGTCTGATTGTATTGCACTAAAATACACACGTTGTAAAGACTCACTTCACTACAAAAAAAAAATAAAATAAAAAAAAAAAAAAATTAAGGTTTTAAGAATCAAAATTTAGAAATAAAATTATTTTTAAATATCAAATATTTTTGTCGCGAAAAATGTTGTTATTCTATTTTTAAAAATAAAAATTAAACATTAGTGATGAATTATTATTTTTTTTAGACTAAATTTTTTTCAAAAAATAAACCCTTTTAAGACCAAATTATTTTGTCGCTTAAAGTGTATTTATTAGTGACTTTTTTTAAAATTTTGATACTAAAAGTCTTATTTTTAACTTTTTGGAATGATTTTTTAACGATTATTCTCATGATGTTAGAAATTGATTTCTAAATATCTTTTGACAACAAAATTTTCACTTTTAAAGATTAAAAAAATTAATTTATAAAATTTTTATATGTTGTAGTGAGGATTAATATGCTTATGTAACATCAATTTATATTTATTTAATCATTACTACAAATAGCTAATCAACCCTCTACCATCATAGTGAGCAAGCAAGTCACAAAAGCAAACAACCACCACCTAATTTTAAACCAACTACATGAAAATAATTTTATAAGCATCTTTTGTCATAATTTTTTTTGTCCTCTACCTCAAAACATTGCCAATTACACAATTAAATTTCAAAATTTTAATATTTTGAAATTTCTATCACATTGACAATGGATAGACACGAACTTGTAAAAATATATGATAAACTTACTTTCCTTTCTCTCTCTCCATGAGTGAGAAATCAAAGGAAGGGAGACAAACAAGTGTTGACCAAATGGTCAGCAATGATATGATTGGTTTTTTTCAGTGGGATGAAAGGCATCCCAAAACACGAACTTGTTTGCACCTCTGCATGTTAATGGCTTGTGCCTACTGCATGGATAACCCATCTCGAACATGCCTGTGGCACAGCAACCCACTGCTGTTTCTTCGAACCCTGTCATTCAACAACACATCAAATGATTTTTAAGAAATGAAAAATAATTCATAAAAAAATTAATATCACGTATCAATAGTAATATAATGTCATCCATATGTTACTTATTTTTTCAAATTAAGTTCATTTTTGAATAATAGATTGGGCTTCTAATTGAATGTAGGCTCAGTTGGAATTAAATCAGAGGTTCAAATGCTAAATAGGTGGAATTTTTGTACTCAATGTTCAACATCTGGGCTTAATTCAGGTCCACATTGGAACACAAGGCTTTCTATTGGGAGAGGTTACAATATGCACCCCCAAAAGGTGCCATATATATGCCCTTTTTAATCTTTGACAAAATTTTATAACATAAATTATTGAATGTCATAATTTTTTCTACTATAAAGTTACTTTTTTCGTCACAAAATGTCATTATAACAAATCAAATAGTGTCATAATTTCATTATTCGTAACTTTAGATGGACGCTGTAAATTCACTAATTATAACTTTATCAGTGACTTAAATATTCATAACTTTTATCATAAAAAATTAAAATTTTTACAATGTAGACCTTTTAAAAGGTGTAGGTTGTAGGTTTATCATTTTGGGGAGTTTTTTTTTGTTTTTTTAAAATATTTTTTTATAGCTTTGTTGATTTAAGACAATTTTAACAATCACTGGGTGGGCCTAAGTTTCACGGAATTTTTATTCCTTTTTACAAACTTTGGATTCAAAAATAAAATAATATTGAGTTAAGATAAGCAATAATACTACATTTACTATCTTTTCATATTGTTTTTTGTGTCAAAATTACGATCACTAATGTAATGAGTCTCCTCATGCACTCCATTATTATCAAATAGTTGTGATTGTGTTACATAAGATGACATACTAAATGCCTATAAAAATCAGAAAAAAAAAATGGATACTAGTTCAGATAATAATTTAAGAGATTTGTTGGTTACGAGATAAATTTATAAGAAATAACTTAAAATTGTCTAAAACAATTTGGGGAATTTGAAAGAAATGTATGAATTATTGAAGTATTTGGAATAAATTTGTGATTCATCTATTTAATAAAATAAAAATGCTTACCTCTAATAACATGGACATTTGCATATTAATTGTTAATTTGTTTAAAAATTCACCAACTAATATACAACTGTGTAAATAAATTAAAAAAAATAATATTTTAAGGGTGTCCAACATTACTCTTCATAAAAAGGATAAATTATAAATACACTCTCAAGATTTCTTAAAATTTAAATTTCTCCTTATGGTTTTAGCAATTTCAAATATCTTCTTGTCAGAATATGTCATTTAACATAGTTGCAACTGTTCTCTTATACAACAATAAAATTATCAGAATTGTTAATCGCATGATATTATCGACATCATTAAAAATTATTAATTGACTTAATTGTTGATCAATGAAAGAAATTATTTGTTATACAACAAATTTTTTTAAGAGGAGTGACGTAATTTTTGTAATCACATAAGACAATTAGTATTTTAAGCAAACTTGAAGAGTGTATTTGTGTCAAAATCATGATTATTGATGTAATAAGTCTCACATGAGGTCCATTAATATCGAATGATATAATATACTAAATGCCTATAAAAGATGATAAATGTAACATTATTACAAAATAATCGGTATTTTGTAGTTATTCCCCAAAGAAAGGGTACTAGTTCAGATAATAATTTAAGAAAAAATTTGATTACAAGATTAATTTATATGAAATAACCTTTTCATAAAATACTGAAATACTAACATAATTAAAGATTATTAATTGACTTAATAGTTAATTAATAAAAAATGTTATTTTTTATGGATTAGAACCTTTGTAAAGCATGGATGGATGTGATGTAATTTTTATGACTACAGAACACAATAGTATTTTAAACAAATTCAATGTTTTATTTATAATTTAACCTTATAAAAACAGTAAGGATGTAAAAGAAGCCAAAAGAAAGAAATTACCATATAAAGAAGGTTTCTGAACAATCTCCATGAGAATTGGATATGGATTTGCAAAGACCATTCTAACCCCAGGCATCTCTTTGTTCACTTCCTCCACCAAATCTCTCAACTTATCATTAAAATTCATTGCCACAACGTTGTAACTTTGCACACACTCATTCCCACCCTTGACATTTGTTGTTCTCTCCAATGGCAAACAACCCATCGGAGGAAGCCCGCCAAGCGATATCTTTCTGGCTCCCAATCCATACAGAGACTTGAAGAATTTTTTGGCAATTCCGATGAGTAAAACTTGGTACTGATCGATGTTGTAATGCGATCGCCGCTTAGGGAGTGTGTAGTAATTTTCTAGGAAGTCATTTGTTCCTAAACTCATCACATACAATGCCTTAGTTAAGGTTTCATTGGCCTTTTGTTCACCAAGGTAGGCTCTGAGTTTGTTTTGGTATTCCTTGTAGTACCCTAACTCTTTCCATAGGGGTACACTGCAAGAGAAGCATTGGAAAATGTTAATGTGTTGGGTGGTATAGTAGTTAATGATGTATTCAGTATGCATTAATGTGGGATAAGGGAATCATAACAACTTATCAATATGGCATGGGATTTTCTGTATTTAAAATTTATATATTTTCATGTATTTAATGCATTTTCAATCGTACATGTTTCAAAATTTGTATCACATTGTACGTAGTTAAAAGTACATTAAATTTTGATTATATTGAGTGCTAGGGAAAACATGTGTTGACACATTTAGTACTCTCACTTTCACTAAAATTCATTTTGGTTCATGTATTTTTAATTTTGACGGTCAATCACTTATTTTTTAAGTCATGTTACAATATCACATTTTTATTCATTTGGCGGTAATGAAATTGACAGAAATTGACGTATATATGACACGTGACATGTTGATGAAAGAATAATTAAAATGAAAGGATTAAACTGAAATTTTAATAAAACTACAATGGATCATAGAGAGAATTTGGTAAAACTGTATAAATACTAATGGGGGTGAGAAAAATGTCACATGTGGCTCACATACAAATTTCTATCAGAATAGTTAATGCTAGACAGACAGAAGAATGATGTTAAAACTCAATTTAAAATATACGATATTGACTGTAATAATTAAAGATAATAAGCTCGTTTGAGATGTGGGTTAATTTTTTGACTATTTTAATTTGGGACTAAAAACTCTTGGGATAGGTATTTTGGCTTTTTTAACTTTTGTAAGAAAAAAATAAAATGATTATAAATTAGATGTGACATTTTGTCCTATTTAGCTCAAATAGTCTATTTTATCTTATATAACTATGTTAGCTCCAATGAGACATCCCAAACGAGTACTAGAATAAAGTAAATTTTTTGTAAAGTACATATAGGGCATGTTTGATTGGGTGGATTAGAGTATGGGATTAGGATTATTAATTCGTGGGCCCAATTATCTCATGTTTGTTTTAACATTTTGGTTTAGGATTATTAATCCAATGGATAATTAATCCAACAAATTTGTAGGATTATTAGTAATGGGGTAGGGGTGGGATTATTAATCCAATGGATATTAATCCAATTGGATAGTGAATCCTACACTAATTTAATAGGATTATTAATACTTCACTATTAGTCTTTTGAATCAAACATGACCATAGATTCTAAATATATTTAACTTTTGTAAAGTGCATAGATACTAAATGATTGTTTGGGTTTGGCTTTTTTAACTTTTGTAAGAAAAAAATAAAATGATTATAAATTAGATGTGACATTTTGTCCTATTTAGCTCAAATAGTCTATTTTATCTTATATAACTATGTTAGCTCCAATGAGACATCCCAAACGAGTACTAGAATAAAGTAAATTTTTTGTAAAGTACATATAGATTCTAAATATATTTAACTTTTGTAAAGTGCATAGATACTAAATGGTTGTTTGGGATGACCTAAATAAGTGTACTTTTTATCTTTTTACGAAAAGATGTACAGAAAAATAGAGAGGTGATGTGATGAAAAAAAGATAAAAAGATAAAAAGATGGATTATTTTTGGATTGCCAAACTTGGTTTAACTTCAAAAAAAAAAAAAAATGCTAAAATACAGACATATGATAGCGCAAATTCAACTACTGAAAATGGCAACACATGAACACGTACTGCTCCATTGAAAAGTGAGGCACAACAAGTGATTCAATCTTTATAAATGATTCAAGTTGACATGGATAGGCCCACAAGGCACACGGCCCACGGTAAACCACCCCGAACCCAGTGCTTGGGGCCAATGGCACAACCCGGTTGCTTGGGTGACAAGGCCCAGAACAGCTGGAGGCCACCTAGGCATGAAGGGCCAACGGCATTTAGGCACACGGCAGGTGGGACACGGGCCACATCAGCAGACAAAGATCTGCAGAGTTATTATCACAACACATCACCATTAATGCAACCCATCACAGCATTTATTACAACAGCACTCCCCGCCGGAACAGAGCCTCCATCACCCTAAACAAGATGAGCTATGGCACAGGCTTTCGGCGGAAAAAGCACGTCACAAGAGACAGGAAAAATGATGACAAAAGGATATAAGCAAGGATAAGAGGAAGAAAAGAAGGTTAAGTCTCTCTCTCTCTCTGGATCTCTCGATATACAGTCTTTTCATACTCTGCTCTTCTAATTCTTGCACCGAAGGGTTCGCTGGGGGACTACCCCCTTCCCCCCCTGAACTTGCTTGCAGGTCATCTGGCGGAGCCCCCCCTTTTTGAGTCGGAGTCTGGAGAACCTGGGCCGGTCCGATCCATCCACCCGGGAATCGATACATCATCACAAGTAATTGGAATGAATGTTTAGATGCCATGCCAGTGAAGAAGGTGTCAAGTTTAAGTCAACAAAATCACTTCGGTAATAATCTAATTATACTAGTTAAAAATTTACCGTGTGGCCTAGAAAATAAAATAAATAATAATGATAATAATAATAATAATAATAATAATAGCAATAGATGGCTCACAAGCACATCAGAAGTAACATTGTCGTAGCCAGTTCCAGCCGAGGCAAAGCTGACTCCAATGGCGAAATCCGATATATTATAGGATGGATCCAAGTACGCCGGCACAGTTGGCCCGAGACCGAATGCCTCCGATATGAAATCAGTCGGAATCCGGCCATTCGAGAACCTTCCGGTTGCCCGACCTCCTTCAAAGTCCCGGCCATAAGGCTCGAAATTGCTCCGAACGATGGTCGGAATCTGATTGTTGTTTCCAGCGTCGACCGATGAGTCTCCGAACACAATGACGGCTGGAACTTTGGCTGTGGCTTTGCCTTCGAGGAATGGTACCATTAGAGCTAGAAATTGAGTTAGTAGAAGCAATGGTGTGGACAACATGTATGCCATCTTCTCCTTATTTCTCTCTCTAAAGCATGGAAAAATAGAAACAAAATAAACAAAAATGCTTTAGAGCTCTAATATAAGAGCTCTAATAGTTCTAATGGGAAGGTGAATCCTACCCTGATGTGATGTTTGTGCCTTGCTTTGTTTTTTTTTATTTTTTATTTTTTACTTTGACACATCATTAGAGTTCAAATTAGAACTCTATATTTAAAGCTCTCTATCATTTCCCCAAAATAAAATTGGCTATGGGATGTAAAGAGTTGTGATATATAAATACAGTTAACCCGAGGGGGGTTGGCTTAGTGATTACGGCATCAGATTTGGGGTGTGCACTTTTTAATGCATCAACTTTCTCATATTGACATCAATACGTGAATACAAATGTCCTTTAATAAAGGAACAATTATGTAGCAACTCTCTCATATCGAAGTTCAACCAATTTATGTTTTAGAAAAATGTTATAGGTTTTAAATTTTTTATTAAATAAATGATCAAATGTTTTATAGGGGTGTGAGGTCCATAAAATTGCGAACCCTACACACATGTGAGATATTTAGTCATTTGTTTAGTAAAAGATTTGGTATCCCTAACATTACCTTATTTTTTATAAGTATCTTTTATTCAATATTTTTTAAAAATTAAACAATTCGAATTATTTAAATAAAAAATTTTATAAATTATGCAACAGCGACTGTTGTGCACAATGCAAAGTGATCCTAAATCCACAATGTGAGACTCAGAAAATCCTCGCACATGGATGTTGATGAGCTCCAATGAAAAGATGAGCTTGACTACTATAAACTGCAAGGATAAACATAGTCGGTGCCATCCAATCGAGGTTGCTGGCCGGAGACACTCTGATGATAAAGTTAGAATCCATGAATGAAGAGTATAGATAGTAAAGAGTGTTGTGCGTGGAGTGTAGAGATAGATGACATACCTTTTGTGTATGGAGTCTCCTCCCTTTATAGGGGATAGATGATATTTGTTTAGGATATTTTACCCATATAGCTAGGATATTTTTCTAGCTCTCACAATAGCCCCAAATCTTTCGCTTTCTTTGCCACAAGAAGTAGAAGTTTTTTGTTTTGAGTTCGTGGTATAAACATATGCGAGATCTTTGATGGATAATGGGTAGTCGATATAGGTCTCACTTCCGGACCACATTGCCAAGCAATGAAATTCCCTAGAATGTAAAGAGTGTTGTGGGTGGAGTGTAGAGAGAGATGACAAACCTTTTGTGTATGGGGTCTCTTCCTTTTATAGAGAATAGATGATATTTGTTTAGGATATTTTACCCATATAGCCAGGATATTTTTCTTGCTCCAACACACAAGAACATGTAACTTGCAACAAAGCCAAATGTTAAATTTTCTTTCTTTAGATTATTTAAGGAAGAAACAAGAATGCACACACATGCTTGGGATGGAACCATTAAATGAGAGGAGAGGGTTAGCTCATATGCACAACTGTTTGATTAAATATTGTGAACATCTTGCTATCATTATGTAATAGTGTCTTGTAATCGTTATGTTTATGTTGACACACTCTGAATTTATTTAAAATCTGAAATTATTAAGTTATGGAGGAATTACACTGGTATGTGTCAGTTAAAAAATATTTACAAATAAAAAAATATTATAAATATTAATAATTAAAATTATAAATTTTTTCATTAATAAATAACTAAATTACACTAACACCACTACAGTGTTATTAGAGAGAGTCGGATAACTTCGTTATTAATAATTTTTACATTAACCAACCCCACAGGTTTGTTGTTTAGCTAGTGTTTGGGGTTTATTGGATTATTTTCATGTTTGATGATTTTTCTTTTTAATATTTTTTAAAATTATAGATTTTTAAGTTTTACTCAACAAGAAAAATTGGGAAATTAATATTTTTTTTTTAAAGTTCAGAAAAGACAAAATAAGTAAAAAAAACAATTGACCTATTTTGCTTAGTTTGGCATTTTAATTTCTTTATATTGAATTTTTCAATAAAAAAATTACTTTTAAAATTTATCTATACAAGATAGACTAAAAAAATAAAAAATTTAGGCATAATTTAACAAAAAATAAAATAAAATAAAAATTTAGAAAAAAAATTGTCATATTTTTGTGTTCCCAAACCCCTAGAGCCAACCTCCTTGTGGATTTGGCTGTGGCCTCCAAACACAAAAGTTGTCTTCAGACAATATGTGTTGTCATCTATATTTGATATGAAATGTTAAGATTTGATTAGAAGAGAAACCTAACCATGTCAATATCCTGCGTGTAGAATCTCGAAGAGGCAGCTCAACCATTAGATCATTTAAGTTGTCACCGGTCTATAACAAAATTTCAAAAATAATTGTCAAAAGTCCTAATTTTTAAAAATTTTTTGTCAATGGTCCTAACTTTTCAATGGTGTTTGAGGTTTGCTTTTTTTGTGACATTTTTGTTGGGTTATTTCTGCCTTTATTGAATTAATTTTAAAAAATATTCAAAAAAAACTTAGGCTTCTAGATCTTACTTGATAAGACGAACCAGAAAATTAAAAAAAAAAAATCTTAGAAAAAACCAAAATAAGCAAAAAATAAATAGTAGACTTTTTGGCTTATTTTATTTTATTTTATTTTTTAAATTTTTTTAAAGATTTTTTTTAAATTTTTTTTTTACATTTCAAATTAGTCTACATAAGATGGATTGAAAAAATAAAAAATTATGACATAATTAAAAAAATCGTTGAAAACAACAATAATTTTTAAAAAAAAATTGTGACTTATTTAAAAAGTTATGAATTAGCTACAATATTAGAGTAACGATGAGTTATTGTGTTAATTAGAAGTAGGGGGGCCGCACATGTAATGAGTTGCTCTAGAGATTGTAATTGCTTTGTTAAACTATGATTTTGGTTTCAAGACTTCTTTTCTCTTCTTTTATTTTATTTTTATTTTTTATATAAACATGAGCTACAGGGACATTTTGAGAAACAAAAAATATAAGACAGAAATGTGTCAATTCTACTAACAACCTTCGCTTTATATGTTAGAACAAATACTGCTCGCTTCAACATTGCAAGCATTGGAATGCGGGTAAGTGCTAATTTCGGTTTCGACAATGCTACGTAGCTCAAATTTTGTGACTCAAAAGTGGCTCAAATGACCAAAACGACGTCGTTTTGAGTACAGAACAACATAAAAATGGTCAAAACGACGTCGTTTTGGCCATTTGAACCACTTTTGAGCCACAAAAGATGGATTGAAAAAATAAAAAATTATGACATAATTAAAAAAATCGTTGAAAACAACAATAATTTTTAAAAAAAAATTGTGACTTATTTAAAAAGTTATGAATTAGCTACAATATTAGAGTAACGATGAGTTATTGTGTTAATTAAAAGTAGGGGAGCACATGTAATGCCTGTGTATTTAAAAAAATGTAATAAAATAATAAGAATAATAATAAAGAAAAATACATATACGGATGTGTTGCTCTAGAGATTGTAATTGCTTTGTTAAACTATGATTTTGGTTTCAAGACTTCTTTTCTCTTCTTTTATTTTATTTTTATTTTTTATATAAACATGAGCTACAGGGACATTTTGAGAAACAAAAAATATAAGACAGAAATGTGTCAATTCTACTAACAACCTTCGCTTTATATATTAGAATAAATACTGCTCGCTTCAACATTGCAAGCATTGGAATGCGGGTAAGTGATAATTTTGGTTTGGACTTTTTTTAAGTGTGCAACTTACACCTTACATTTACGCCTTTCTGTTTGCTGTCCTGTTTTATGTTTACACCTTCCACTTACACTTTTTGTGTTGGTTGCATATGGTGTGCAACCCCTTAAGGTTGCACACCATAACAACACCCTTTCGGTTTTGGAGGCAAATTGTTGAGTGTACATCCCTATCATTAGAAAAATATTCCAAATTAATTCACCCAGAAAATTTTAAGTGAGTTGTTGTGTGGTGAAAATTAATTTATAAATGTGAAATTAATGTGTAAAATAAATCTAAATTATAAGATGATGATTTAGGATAATTTCTAAATTAATAAAGATAAATTTGTAATATTACTAAAAAAATATATTGAATGACAGGATTCTACACGATATCATCGGTTAATAAAAAATATCGTTACATTTAATATTTAGTCATTTAAACTCCGGAGAAACCGTTTATCTCCACCAATAGTGTAATCTAATTTTTACACATTATTTAATACTACTAGTTTGAGTGTTATTAACAGTTCTCTTTATTCAAAATTAATTTTAATATATAAGAACCAAAACTGTGTATCATGATAGGACCTAAGAACCTATGGTGGGTGTTTGGGAAATAGGTTTTTATGTAATTTTTTTAGTTGTAGGATATTATTAGAGAAATTTTTTTTGGTGTTTGGAAAGATAGTTAGATTTTTTTGTGGTTGGATGTAATGTTTGTGAAAGAAAAAGTGAAATGATTATAGGATTTATTTTGTTTAGATTTGTTTTCTTTTTATTTTGCAAAAAAATTGTCTTTTAGTAAAAAAAATCCAAAAAAAATTATTGCCACACACCGCCTTATCTACCAAAGTTCTATCACAACATGTATGACTAAATGCTTGATCACTAATGAATGAGTTATTTGATAAATCACAAAGTTAGGACCGGCCCTCAACCTTTTTGGGCCCTAAGCGTCCTTTAAGATTGAGACTGTTATTAATGAAATTGTATGTATTCACAATTAATTTTTTTTTTTCTTTTCCTTTCTAATATCCATGTAATTACTAATTTAGTTACATAGATTAAAATCAAGGATGGACTTAGAAGGGACAAAAGGGAGTGATCGCCACTACGATTTTAAAAATTTCCGTTATTATAATAATATTAATTATAACTATTTCTAAATTATAGAGGTTCGTCTCTTTTAAGTATTTCTTTTATAAATTGTAAGTGGTCATCTTCTCTTGATTTTTTTTTTTTAATAAAAAATTTGATTTGTTGCTTTTCTATATCTATAAAACATTGAATTAAAGTATAAAACTAAAAAAAATAGACAAAATATAATAAAATTAATAATTTTTATA